ACTGACTCTTCCCTCTAGTGTTCATTTCTCCTGCATGGTCGTGGACTTGGTGTGGTTCCTTCACCTGAAACAGAAAAGAGCGAAGGAACATTGACATTGATCTGATGGTCGACCTATGAGACGCTCTGGTAAGTCCTCATTTCGTGTACTGTGTCGCTCAGAGAGGAAATACTACCAATCTGATCTAGCAGTTCATATACCATTCAGTTTATGTTATGCCTATCTGAAGAGTTACTCATATAAACATGTCACTTGGACTTTTCGAGAAAACAAATATATTGATATTATCGCTTTCTCAGTTATTCTTAAAACACATTATATATATACACATATACTCGGATGTATATATGTATACTTATGTATCAAGTTTAGAATGTTTCTCCTACACAATAAATCAAGTACCTTCAGTCAGTAACAGAGTATTAACGAGTAGCTGACGTAGTTCACAGAATGTTCCGAAGTTTTGAGTCAGCGAGTATTGGCAGTGAGGGCCACAACAAGGACGCAAGGCTTGGCACTACCTGAGTTGAGTGCCATCTTACCTAGCCAGAGTACCTCAGGGTTTTGTGTGTTGTTATTGTGAGGTGAAGCAGTGATAGATGAGTCGCCATTCATCTGTCTGTAGTAGTAGTAGTAGTAGAAGGTAATTAGGAGGAGCGAATAACAACGCCCAGCCAGTGATAGTGTGCAGGCGACCTCATTAGATCTCTCTAAAGCCATTACTGAAACTAACAAACACTCAAATTTTTCTGTATTTTTGTGGTTAAATATCCATACGAACAGTTTCTATCTCTATTGATAAAAAATTTCTCCTTCCGTCCATTTTATTACACTTTAATTCATCTTTTTGTTTGGTATAAAGGAAAACGGCGAGAAGACGACAAGGAAACGATGTTAAAATAAGACAACAGACAAAAAATGAGACGATGTTAAGATCAAACCACAAAGACCACCCACAATATAATATACCACAGTGAGTCAGCAAAAATGTATAACAAAATAAACAGAGTATTGCTGAATATGTCAACACTCACCAACCTGAAAATACTTCCTTATCTGGCTTGGTGGCGCTTGAGCCATGTGTTGTGTGAACTAACATGTGTTGCCTCAGACAGATATTATTTACAGATACAACACGATAATGAGGTCGTCTTGGTACTCTGACATATAGTTACTGAGAGATAATGTGTTTTGTTATATTACAGACGTCAACATGAGCAGCTGTAGGCCAACATGTTGAGAACAATAATCGTTACTAGTCGATGATAGATACTGTGACAAGGATAGAGACTAATTACTAACGAATTGTATCAGTAAAAGTTGGCTGAACAAGTCAGCCAAGAATCTTGAATGTTTAAAGTGTAAAATGGATGCGACGGTGGAGTGGATACAGCGCCTCGGGGCACCTCCAGGTCACCCAGTTATGAATAGGCGCCCAACCCTACACTTGTACAGCGAGAGAAAGTTGCTCTCTAGTTTATAGTATCCACACTCTAGACCTCTACCTTCATAACTCTTATATATCTTTCAAGAGTTAATTACTATAGTAAACTCATCAGTATTAATTTCCATGGTCATCATTGTTAATTAAAACATTTCCTTGTGTTCGTACGTCTACGTTCCTCATGTAACGTCTATCGATAAATACGTTAACGTCCAGTATATCTGTTTTTATCTTTCTCAAAGCTATATGCTATCCTTTTCAGAAGCTTCCCCTTTCGTGATCAAAGCTTTACGTTGTCATGATCAAAAGTTTTACGAAATTTATGCTATCTTACCAAAATCAAATGATATCGTTTACGACGACTTACGGTATCATTCCTCAGCACATTATCTCATTGAAGGGTTAAGCTGCCACGCCTTAGAGCCTTATGGTATAGTGGTCTAAGGTGTCTGTCTGTGTGTGTGTGTTAAGCCAAAAATCTAATTATGAATCCTTATTCTCGTTGGTTCTATTTAACATTAAACATCGATTAAGTAATTTCCTCAGCCAGAGATGGAGGTGTAGCGACGTAGACCAAACACAAATAAATACCGGCAATACCACCAGAAGTGACCACTCGTTATACAGGTATATCCGTCTCACACACTCATCCTCCAATCACATATCAAAGTGAGAATGACGTCACTATGGTGTGTGTTGCCAAACTGAGAAATACCTTAGGTGATGCACAGAGGACATCAGGTTAGTGGTTTGTTTATACAGGAATACAAAGACGTCCTTCTTCTCTGAGTAGTACATGGCGTGAAGACAATCATACTCGATACATAACTGCTTGAAGTACTTACCTCTTTTAATTTACCATTTACAGATGATTCTCAGACCAGGTGGTGTGACGACTGTGTTTTATACGGAGGTGCCCCGTCAGGTGAGCAACACTCCACGGACAGGTACCATACACCTCCCTCCAACACTCCACGGACAGGTACCATACACCTCCCTCCAACACTCCACGGACAGGTACCATACACTCGACTCCATCTAAAAATCTTAACATTTTCACTCTGTCTTCTACTCATTGAAAGGCAAGTTCATCTTACCTTAATATTTCCATCATTATCTGTAACAATCACCAAAGACGATTTTATTTTTCAATTTTTTTTTCTATAAATTCTGGTGATTAATTGGACAAGAGTTACGCATGTAAGAGCCAGTGACACGGACAGGTACCATACACCTCCCTCCAACACTCCACGGACAGGTACCATACACCTCCCTCCAACACTCCACGGACAGGTACCATACACCTCCCTCCAACACTCCACGGACAGGTACCATACACCTCCCTCCAACACTCCACGGACAGGTACCATACACCTCCCTCCAACACTCTTACCTCGACTCCATCTAAAAATCTTAACATTTTCACTCTGTCTTCTACTCATTGAAAGGCAAGTTCATCTTACCTTAATATTTCCATCATTATCTGTAACAATCACCAAAGACGATTTTATTTTTCAATTTTTTTTTCTATAAATTCTGGTGATTAATTGGACAAGAGTTACGCATGTAAGAGCCAGTGAAGGATCTGGTGAATTATGACAACTTTTGGATGCAATATACAGTATATTTAACAGTGTCAAAATACGTATTAAATAAATCAACTTAAACATTAATCTGTATGTTCATGAATAAAAATATTTAACTCAGCTAAAAAATCTATGTAATAAATACAGCTTCATGTAACATTTTATGTGCTCCACTAGAGAGTATTTCCCCGAGAACACAAGAACATCTCCAACATGAACACAAGTTGAGCCGCCACGTAGCCAAGACCCAGGATGAAGAAGACTCCCTGTACGTGCTCCAGAGTGAGAGACACCCCCCCGCCACCGGCCACCTCACTCTCAGGAGTCGCTTTCACCTCTTCCTCCTCTCTCTTGTACTGTTCAGTGATGTACAAAATACGTTACTCCAACTATCTAACATAAACAATAAACACTAGTCTAATTCCTGGTTATAAATTAGTATTTTTTCCACAAACTTCAACCTAGAAGTACTACACAATAAAGGCTACAGTTTATCTACCCATATAAGTGTGATGATCAACTTCCTCAGATAAATTACTGAAGTTAAGGGTTACTGTATTATTCCTGGTCATCTGGAGTCTCTCCTTCAAGATGTTATCGCCTGACTTTCAAGTGTGATGTGATGTTGACCCAAGCCTGATGCTTTAACAAGAAAACTGTGAAATTTTTTAACAAATTTCTAACTCAGACGAAATATGATGTTACTTCCAATGAAATGTCTTGATGGGAAACTTCAGTATTTCAAGTGGTCATAACCTAACCTAATCTAACCTCAGGTCATTCTCATATTCTCTGATAGGTAAAGCCAGATTTTTGCTCACTCTCTTTGTGGAGTTAAAGTGAAGCAGAACATACTAAAGAAGAGACCTTATGAAGCCTAATGGAGAAGTAAATTGAGAGGGAAGCCGTGAGGTGATACAAGCTGGGGTAGAGGCAATAAGGCGTTACAGTAAGAAATACATAAGGAAAACTTGCTGTGGAGAGACTCTGTAACCGCCTGAAATAATATAGCAAACCAATTGTCTGGTCTATAAACAGTGAAAGTCGCATACACGTTGCTCTCATTACCCTCTTAGACAGTACGAGTGTCTGCTTGTGCCAGTAGCTCATGAGGCCGCTCTGTGAGATCCAACTGACGACGCGATCAAAGTTTTTCTTCAGAGGAGAATGACTCTGTAGACCAAGTGCGACGTTGAAGGGCAGGAAACACTCCTGTAGACCGTTGGACTTTCTAAAAAGCTTATCTATCGTGTTTAGAATTTACTCCGATACATCAATGATAAAAAAGTAATTTATGATAAACTAGTTATCACCTCAGGCCTAAGGTACGATGTGAAGCACTGAATAAAGCAGACTAAACCATACAACGAGTCATGTAAGTACACAATGAACAAGTTAATGGTATGGATACAAAAAAATACCTCATAAAATAAACTATTATGAACAACAGATGAATTCACTCAGACTTACAAGAACGAATGTGTTCGTACGTATGTGTGTGGATGTACTTGTATAAGACGTGGATACATAATTTTGTATTCTGTACAGTACACCAACCCACCTGCAGGATCCTGACCATAGGTACACCCTGCGGGGTGGTGATACGGGCGCTGAAGAAGGCCAGGTAGCGGCGAGAGGTGATCATCACGCCTTCACCCTTCAACACTCGCTTTTTGATGTCCTCGAATTCTCTGAGAGACTCGAACCTCCGAGACAGGTCCTGAGGAGGACACAAACTTTCAGTCGTGGAATAAGAAGATCTAATCTATTGAGTTTAACCATCAACCTCCTTATGTTTAGTGAAATGGTGATGTAACGTTTAGTATGTGATAAGTTATCAAGCTGTCCAAGGTCAACTTAACCCATACAGACCCAACAACAAGTTAAGAGAACATCCAGCTGAGAGGCCGAGAAACATAAGCTAGTATAGACTGTTAAGTTTCTCAAGAAATATAAAAAACGAGTAACATTTGTAAACTGTATAATGGCTAATGTGAAAAGCATGTCATAATAAATCTAAAATATCATAAAGGTTTTACAAGCAATATTAAACCTACCCTGAGATGGTCATTCTTGGACTGGGCCATATTGTTGCCGAAGAATGGTCCCAGACCATAGACGGTGAGCGAGGAATGGTATAGTTCCTTGATGGTGTTGATGCCGGGTGGTGTTCGGTCCACTGTGAGGAAGGCTGTGAGGTTGGAGCTGTAGCCTGTAGTGAGGATGATGATGTACAGCCACAGAAACACCACCAATACCTGCAGGCTGGAGGAGGTGGGCACCTGGAGCTGAGTAGACCTGAAGTGCATCCCCGCCGTGTACAGGCTGGTGTACGCCAGCGAGCTATTGGCCATCTTCTCTCCTCTGTGGGATGTTATCAAGAACCTAAGGTTATGTCTTTATCTGTTCATTCATTCAATCACAAGTCTCCCTGGAGGACTCCTCACCTCCTTCTTAAGACAAATATACCAAACTTACTTCCCATCCACCTCTACCCATTAATACACTTGTTCACACACACTTAAGTCTTCTCTCACACCCAGACTCCCTCAACACACACCTGAAAGAGGCAAGTTTGGTCAGACAGTAGAGGAGAGGACCAGTGAGAACGAGGCCCAGTAGTATGACGAGCCAGGTGGTGGCAGTGTACGGGAGGGCCAGTGACTGCCACCGAGGTATTTGTGCCTCACTCTGGATCAGGAAACACGTCGCCTGCAACAACATCACACGCTGTCGGTAATGTTTAATAACTCGTACTACTTTTTCTCAGGCGGTGGGAACTAAACTCAAATATGTCCATCCAGGTGGATACAATACACAAACAGAGATGGAATTATAAGTATTACCTGAGTTATACACAGTAGAATTACAGCACAATATTTATGGTTGTCACTACTTGTTTGGGGGTATTAATTTTGTACTGATTCTAATTAGCCAAGACATCTTCTTGTCCAAATAACACGTAATTGTCTACAACTAACAGAGGCGTCAATAAATTAAAGTGTGTCTAAGATGTTGCAGAGACATATGGTAAGGTGACGCACGTCTTGGTCATAGTAGGTGGTGTACTCCTGGTACTCCTTCCGGCCGCCCAGGGCTGTGATGAAGAGGTTGGCGATGCCTATATCCCCCTCACCTGTCCCCAGCAGCCCCACCAAACCGTTCCAGGTACCATTACTCGTCACCTCCCCCCACAGTTCACCTGAAAATACTCAATGTTATTTTGGTTTGTGTAAAGTCTTAATTGTGATGGAGAGAAAGAGGAAGAACGAAGGACTGAGGAAACGTCTGAGAAGGAGCCTAACGTTTGTCCCAGACGGGGCAGCTCCTGGTATTTCAACGTATGAAGGAAGGTCCAGCAGAAGATGGAACTACATTTTTTTTTAATGTGTGAATCAATAGCCAAATAAATCTGATATTAGACACAGTTCAAAGTATTTACAGTATATTGAATGGTCTTATAATAATTACTGGTGCAATCCCATGATTAATCTTTGTACATGGCTAAAATTTACAAACTTCAAAGATATTTTTTTATTGCAGTTACAAAACATTTTAGTATTTTATCTATAAAAATGTTGTCATTGATATTCACTGTTACAGAAGTAGAGTAAAAAGCTTGTTTATCTCCTACAGATGGTGGTGAATGGCGCCACCTACCCGGCGGAGGTTCCTTGAAGTTTATAGTAAAGTTGAAGGCCTGGGCGACGGCGGTGACCACGTCAATATCACTACCGTAGCGGCGGAGCACCGAGCCGTTCCTCCCCCGATGATATAAAATGTTAGGAGGTAACTCAAATGTGATCACCTGAAAAAGTGTTGGAGGAAATTATAAACCCGCCATGAGTTACCGATCAGATACGACTCTTGTCACTGCCATCATCTCTGAGTGCACCAGTGGTCATGAGTGTGGTAAATCCTGAAAAGAAAACGTAATATCTAACTCGCTCTGTATGTCACGAATATAAAGTTGTACACTGAATTTTATGGTCCGTTTGTTCAGACCCAGGAAGCCTTTTACTATGGAGCTGTAGTGTTACAGTATTTTGCCACCAATAATGTGTAGTAGTAGTAGTAATAGTAGTAATAGTCACCGCAACTTAGCTCTCGATGCTGCACACAGGAGGAACGAGAACGACAAGATAAGGGCATAGGGGAGAGAATTCAGAACGTTGATCAAGGCAGCTTCACTCCTCTAGTGTTCACAACCTCTGGTGGGATGGGACCAAGTGCAAGATGTTTCTACGCCAGACTCGCGGAGGTGCTATCCGAACAGAAGCAGCAGCCCAGAAGTTATGTTACAGCCTGGATGAGATGTCGACTGTCTTTCTCTCTCTTTCGGTCGGCTTTGCTCTGCCTCAGGGGAACGAGAGCTTCTGCCCCAACTCCGACAACCGCTGCAGATATTGACTATGAGGCTACTGTCAATGAATGCCGCATAGATCTGCGGCTCAACTAATTTAACACAGATAGGATAGCTACTTATGTATTAGGATATTTAATATTAAGGTAATTAAATGGTGGCGAAGGTGTGGCTATTGGGGGAGGCTGGAGGCCACGTTAAAAAAAAAAGTAGTAGTAGTAGTAGTAGTAGCAAAAAAATCATATAGCGAAGGAGTATTTTAAAACTTAGTAATTTGCTATAGATAAGTTTGGAGATCTGTCAGAAACAAATTTATGTAACCTGATAAAATAAAATAAATTGTAATATTGATGTTATCGAATGAACAGAATAATCGTGTACTAAATCAAAATATAATCAATGATAGAAACGAGTTGTTAGTCATAGAAGAAGGCTACAGTGTTCATCGATGACTCACATTAAGAACAGCTCCCTGCAGGTTGGTGATCTTGTCCGGGAAGAGGTTGACGGGGATGGTGGAGGATCTTGAGGTGGTCCACGTAAACACCCGGGCCATCTTCTCCCGCTGGTAGAGCTGGTTCATCACCACCACGTACTGCCCCGCGTCCCCTGACTGTCCCCACCACAACCACACCATGTTGGCAAACAAATAATAGTAGGAGACACAGGGAGAGATAATATTAAAGGCTTATATATAGATCAAAGAAGCGGGTGTGACTATAAACTACACGGCTCCCTCTTGGTGTGTACGAGACGGAGAAACAGTCCTCCCATAATTGTGCTACAATGATAAGTGATGGCCTCTCACACACTCTTCTAGATTAAGTGAACCACACCCACACTCAATAGAACCACACCCACGCTCACCTGAACCACACTCACAACTCACCCGAATCACGCCCACGATGTGATCAGTCTTCCTGCCCTTGTTAGTGAGGGTGAGGTCGTGCAGCTGTTCCCGGGATATGCCCGCCACCACGTACCTGGGGTGAGGGGGATAATAAGTGTGTCTAAAACTCCACTAGTTAATAAGATGAACTTTGAACCTCATATTTACTTGTACGGGATATAGGCTGCAAAACACCAGTTCATTATTAGGTCACAAGAGCAGCACTTTCATTGTGAGGATTACAGGACACTCCCACATATAAAAATTATTCTGTATTAAAAACATCAACAATTGTGTAACATACAGATGACGCTTTGTTGAATGATACACCCTGAGGAAGTCACTTAGGATTATCCGGCACTGTGTTGTGTTGACTAGTGAAGCCAACATCCCCAGCCAGTGTCTCACCTGCCGTCATAGTCCCAGGCGCCTGTCACTGGGTCGGTCAAGGTGTAGAGCGGCGCTGGGTCGCTCAGGAGCAGCAGGTAACCTCGACACTGCTGTGCCTTCAACACCGCCTTCTGCAGGTCCTGCACACCCACCACGTTCACCACCTGTTGTGTACATTAAAACACAATTGACCATCACTGTGTTTATTTTTGACAGTATTTGTATATTTCATCACCTGTGTGTGTGTGTGTGTGGCTAGACAAGTTTATTGACGACAAAAATATTCAAGTTCCACACATACAAACACATAATAGACTACAGTATGTTGTGTTGTGTTGCGTTGTGGCATAAGTGGTGTGAGCATAACCCGGACCTGTCTCAGGTTAGGGAGTCGCAGGATGCGGTCCATCACTGGTGACCTCCAGAAGCCTTGGTCGGCAGCCACCACCAGGACGCACTCCCTCAACTGCTCGATCACGATGGCGCTCAGCAGCACGGCCAGGGAGTCTTCGTCTCGTACAGGCAGTTTTATCATCCTACGGTATCGTCTTGATGATGGAGATGTGTGAGTGATAAGTGGCGGAGATATAGAGAAGGGTTTAGTGGACGCTTTACCTGTGTACCTTCTAGTAGCAAGTTGGTACACTGAAGGTGGATGAATGTGAAGGTTAAACGGCATCTCAGTGAAGGGAAGATGATGCGAATTTTTAGACAGACATTCCAGTTTATCCTCGACGTTAGCAGTGGTGGGTTGAGGGAAGGAGGCAGTGTACAGAGTGGGGGTCTTTAAAGAACTGCAGGCTGCCACCATGAACATCAGTTGAAGAAGTATTCCATTCATGGTACTAAACCAAACATGAAAAATTAGAAGAAAAGTAATACAAAAATATTAGTAGTATGTCAAGGCCATAGAGGATCTTTGGTGGTAGACTGTTATACCAATCGATTCTGAGGTGCTAAAGGAAAATTGTCCATTTAAATATAAATTTAATTACAATATTATCACACACACACACACACATCTACATCCTTGACCACCGAAGGGTCAAGACGTACCTGGCGCTCCTCTCCGAGCAGCCAGGTCAACTGTTAAGTTGGCCCATACCAACCCCCTCCCCTGAACCACTTCTCCCCACCGGAGTATCAACAGGTTCTCGCCAGAAGTTACAATTTCATTTGGGAAAGGAATGGAACCAGTGTTAAACAGAGGTGAACATTGGTGAACAGTGCTTGAGTCAGTGAGAACAACTCAACAGTAAAAGTCGTATTCAAGTTAACCTTCACACAGTGAGGTCCCAGGTACCCAGTGATAACGGCCCGTGAGACCCAACAACCGGCGATGTGTTAATCTGTCTACGATAGGAAGGCCTGGGGCCACACCTCACTCATATAACACCATCTGTGAGGGAATTACTACACCACGTCAAGTCCCTCATAACACCATCTGTGAGGGAATTACTACACCACGTGATGCCCCTCATAACACCATCTGTGAGGGAGTTACTACACCACGTCAAGTCCCTCATAACACCATCTGTGAGGGAATTACTACACCACGTCAGTCTCCTCATAACACCATCTGTGAGGGAATTACTACACCACGTGAGGTCCCTCATAACACCATCTGTGAGGGAATTACTACACCACGTCAGGTCCCTCATAACACCATCTGTGAGGGAATTCGTACACCACGTGATGCCCCTCATAACACCATCTGTGAGGGAGTTACTACACCACGTGAGGCCCCTCGTAACACCATCTATGAGGGAACTACTACACCACGTGAGGCCCCTCATAACACCATCTGTGAGGGAATTACTACACGTGAGGCCCCTCATAACACCATCTGTGAGGGAATTACTACACCACATCAGGTCCCTCCTAACACCATCTGGGAGAGAGTTACTACACTACGTGTTTGCTGTTCAACACCTACATTAATCTGAATGTTCACTGTATGTTCCTTTACCTTTCTCTAATGAAGGCTTTTGTTAAACCACCAATGTATGTAATAAGTCATTTATGTCCAATGTATATTTTCAGCCTTCGGGCTGCAGAACTTTTTGAATAAACCGTTAATTATTATTATTATTATTATTATTACACACACACACACACACACACACACACAAGTAAATTCAACAAATTAACCAGGAGAATATCACCATTCGTTGACCCCGAACATCAGGTGGAACACATAACAGCTCTGCCAACGAGTTGTCAGAAGTGGTATAGGGAGGCGAGAGGTCGACCCGAGTAGTGAAGCTCCCGCTCCCCGAGCAGCATACCCAAGGGCTGAGGTTAGTAGACTGAAGTCGCCTCTGAACTACTATACGGAAAACTCTGGTCTGCTGGACACCGCAAGTCCCCACGACTGGACAGGTCAGGTCTTACATATAGTCCCCCTGGAAGACAAGGACTGATGAACACTGATGTGGACGCCTCTCACACCTGGCCCTTGACGTGGGTAGAGTCCTCCTAAACAACGTATTAAAATAGCCATAATATTCCGGCAAAATCATAAAGTAATAAACCTAGTATTAAATATTAAGTACTAACAACACCTGACATATTGGCCATTAAATTAATATAGAAATATAATAATCAACAATCACCATTGCAGAAATGAATCACTGAAGAATATAACAGACAAATCAATATAAGTGGAGGTTCTCTTACCGATGCTGAGGGAAGGTGACCAACCCACTCACCTTCCAACGTGTACATCACCTCTGTTCAGGGTTCATAACACCTCGAACACTTTGAATGAATCACCGAGATCTCAACATTCTTGGCTCTGTACGAAGTTCATTAACTCTCTAAATGAAACGAATCCCGGTGAATGAGTAACTCAACACTTTGAATAGCCCGAAGCAAATTACCTAAACCACACCATCACCAGTTTCCCTCACATAGAAATTAAAAGGTGAAGCAAACTACATTGTACATTATGAAAATAGATTAAGCAGTAATTTTTAGTGTGACATTATTTCACAACACTTGGAAGTTTGGTGTGTCATTAGCTCACAACACTTGAAGGATTGGTGTCATGTACTGATGGATACAGAATCTCTCAAAGAAGAGCACTTTCAGAACCAGTTGTCAGTAAGATGATTATTGATGAAGAAAAAAGATAAACATTAAGAAAATCCTTCCTCTGGCACAACAGAATAAACACACACACACACACACACACACACACACTAACTTACCCCTGCATGAGTTTACAACACTAGAAATAGTTATTGTATCGTCATTTCACCACACAAGAAAGATTCCCTGTGTCATCAACTCATAACACTGTGTTGTAATGTCACATCTTGTAGAGCGCTGGTTGTGATACGCGCACACCTGTGGTTCTGTACTCACCTGCAGTCGTGTACAAATCTGTCGTCGTGTATACACCTGTGGTTCTGTACACGCTGGTGATCATGTGCACACCTGTGGTTCTGCACACACCTGTGGTCATGCACACACCTGATACATCATCGTAGAGGCTAAGGAACAGTTCACCAGATGTGTTACTGTATCAGAGATTAAAACATGAAGTTCTGTTGCTTACGATGTAAACTCCAGAAACTTCGTTGTGTTCATTATAATATAGTAAATATTGCCTGTATTTATTGGGGAAATAATTTCTATATACCGACATTGCTAAATTCCTTTAGCAACATATTATACTTGACCTTATCAGACAGACAACAGACGATGAATATATATCATAACTATGAGTGACGTCAGAGACAAACGGGACATTGCTGGACACTGTATCACTCACAGTTAATATTGTGGGGCTGTAGAGTACAAAGTTAACTTAGTCTTGGTGACATATTTGGTAATATATAAACTAACCTGCAGTATAGGGGGTCAGTGTACAGCAGTGTTGTTCTTATGTCAGTACTTGTCCGTCTTAGTGTCTGTCTTTATATCAACACACGGAGGGGGGGGGGGCAGGCTGGCCAATGTTCATTGGTCAGTGGCCGAGGATGGACCAATGACAGTGGCCCTCACCGGTCTAGGGGCGTGGCTGGATAAATGGACCGATGCTTCTACTGGATAGTGGGCGTAGCTGGATCAGTGGGCGGGTCTGACCTTGACAAATGGTCTTGACTGGATCAATGGACAGGATCATTGGTGGGCGTGGCTGGACCGTTAGACAGAGACAAGATCGTAAATAAACATGACTGGAACTGTCTGTGTGTCTGTCTGTCACCAGACACCGCTGTGAATGATTGAACCACAATAACAACTCTCACATTGTTCAAACACCTGCCAGGAATTATTAAATAAGACCATCACTTATTAGTGGAGGTGGCTGGCCTGCCTGATCCTCCCGTCTGAGGTTAACTTTACCAGTGTGATAGTGTGGCTGTACCAGTGAGTGTGGCTGTACCAGTGTGATAGTGTGACTGTACCAGTGTGTGTGGCTGTACCAGTGAGTGTGGCTGTACCAGTGAGTGTGGCTGTACCAGTGTGATAGTGTGGCTGTACCAGTGAGTGTGGCTGTACCAGTGTGATAGTGTGACTGTACCAGTGTGTGTGGCTGTACCAGTGAGTGTGGCTGTACCAGTGAGTGTGGCTGTACCAGTGTGATGGTGTGGCTGTACCAGTGTGATAGTGTGCTGTACCAGTGAGTGTGTGGTTGTACCAGTGAGTGTGGTTGTACCAGTGAGTGTGGTTGTGCCAGTGGTGTGGTTGTACCAGTGGTGTGGTTGTACCAGTGAGTGTGGTTGTGCCAGTGAGTGTGGTTGTGCCAGTGAGGTGTGGTTGTGCCAGTGAGGTGTGGTTGTGCCAGTGGTGTGGTTGTACCAGTGAGTGTGGTTGTACCAGTGGGTGTGGTTGTACCAGTGGGTGTGGTTGTACCGGTGGTGTGGTTGTACCAGTGGGTGTGGTTGTGCAGTGGGTGTGGTTGTACCAGTGAGTGTGGTTGTACCAGTGGTGTGGTTGCACCAGTGGGTGTGGGTTGTACCAGTGGGTGTGGTTGTGCCAGTGGTGTGGTTGTACCAGTGAGTGTGGATGTGCCAGTGAGTGTGGTTGTACCAGTGAGTGTGGTTGTACCAGTGGGTGTGGTTGTACCAGTGGGTGTGGTTGTACCAGTGAGTGTGGTTGTACCAGTGGGTGTGGTTGTACCAGTGGGTGTGGTTGTACCAGTGAGTGTGGTTGTACCAGTGAGTGTGGTTGTACCAGTGGGTGTGGTTGTACCAGTGGGTGTGGTTGTACCAGTGAGTGTGGTTGTACCAGTGGGTGTGGTACTGTGGTTGTACCTAATCATTCCACTGTTGATTGACTTTTTTTTTACGGGGATTAGCCCACCCAGGCACAGGTCACTGATCCACATCGGGGCCTGGGGGCGAAAATATAATAATAATAACAATAAATGTAATAAAAATCAAAATAATAATAATAATAATAATAATAAAAATCAAAATAATAATAATAATAATAATAATAATAATAATAATAATAATAATAATAATAATAATAATAATAATAATAATTATTATTATTATTATCATTACCGGTATTCATAGTAAATGAAATTTATAATAAAATAAAAACAAAGTTGAAAATAATAATAATAATAATAATAATAATAATAATAATAATAATAATAAAAATAAAGAACCATAAAGAAATGCAAAAAAAAAAGATCATAAGTGACAAACACTACAGTATATGTATGTTGTGTTGTCAAAGTTAAGAGAAACAATTGATACCCTACAATTGTGTGTAAATGAGGCAGAAAGTCAGATCAGCAACCTGGGACTTGGTCACAATTTTCGTGATGCCATATGGCAGCAGGGTCTACCATTAGACAACACATTATGCTTCCAATATCTTCCCAGGCGGTAGTACCTCCCTGTTTGGTAGCTGCCTACTACCTACTACCTATTCCTTGTTGACCAAGAACAATATATTACTACAAGTTGATATAATACAATGACGGATGTTCCACGTCCTTAGGATCTGAGCACCTGTAGTTCACCTAAAGCTACAGGGAAGGTGTGAGAAGGTGCACCTGTAGTTCACCTAAAGCTACAGGGAAGGCGTGAGAAGGTGCACCTGTAGTTCACCTAAAGCTACAGGGAAGGTGTGAGAAGGTGCACCTGTAGTTCACCTAAAGCTACAGGGAAGGTGTGAGAAGGTGCACCTGTAGTTCACCTAAAGCTACAGGGAAGGTGTGAGAAGGTGCACCTGTAGTTCACCTAAAGCTACAGGGAAGGTGTGAGAAGGTGCACCTGTAGTTCACCTAAAGTTACAGGAAAGGTGGAGGAAGGTGCACCTGTAGTTCACCTAAAGCTACAGGGAAGGTGTGAGAAGGTGCACCTGTAGTTCACCTAAAGCTACAGGGAAGGTGTGAGAAGGTGCACCTGTAGTTCACCTAAAGCTACAGGGAAGGTGTGAGAAGGTGCACCTGTAGTTCACCTAAAGCTACAGGGAAGGTGTGAGAAGGTGCACCTGTAGTTCACCTAAAGCTACAGGGAAGGTGTGAGAAGGTGCACCTGTAGTTCACCTAAAGCTACAGGGAAGGTGTGAGGTGCCTGTAGTTCACCTAAAGCTACAGGGAAGGTGTGAGAAGGTGCACCTGTAGTTCACCCCCTAAAGCTACAGGGAAGGTGTGAGAAGGTGCACGTAGTTCACCTAAAGCTACAGGGAAGGTGGTGTGAGAAGGTGCACCTGTAGTTCACCTAAAGTTACAGGAAGGTGGAGAAGGTGCACCTGTAGTTCACCCAAAGCTACAAGGGAAGGTGTGAGAAGGTGCACCTGTGTTCACCCTAAAGCTACAGGAAGGTGTGAGAAGGTGCACCTGTAGTTACCTAAGTTACAGGGAAGGTGGAGGAAGGTGCACCTGTAGTTCACCCAAAGTTACAGGAAGGTGGAGAAAGGTGCTAGTACACCTCAAGTTACAAGGAAGGGAGGAAGATGCCTGCAGTTCACCCTCAAGTTACAGGGAAGGTGTGGGAAGGTGCCTGTAGTTCACCTCAAGTTACAGGGAAGGTGTGGGAAGAAGCACCTGGAGTTCACCTAAAGTTACAGGAGGTGTGGGAAGGTGCCTGTAGTTCACCTAAAGTTACAAGGAAGTGGAGGAAGGTGCTGTAGTTCACCTCAAGTAGCAGGGAAAGGTGTGGGATGGTGCCTGTAGTTCACCTGAAGTTACAGGGAAGGTGGAGGAAGGTGCACTGTAGTTCACCTCAAGTTACAGGGAAGGTGTGGGAAAGGTGCACCTGTAGTTCTTAAAGATTACAGGAAGGTGGAGGAAGGTGCACCTGTAGTTCACCTAAAGTTACAGGGAAAGGTGGGAAGAAGCACCTGTAGTTCACCTAAAGTTACAGGGAAGGTATGCAAGGTGCTGTAGTTCACCTAAAGTTACAGGGAGCTGGAGGAAGGTGCACCTGTAGTTCACCCCTAAGTTACAGGAAAAGTGTGGGAGGGCAGAGAAGGTGCCTGTAATTCACCTAAAGTTACAGGAAGGTGAAGGAAGGTGCACCTGTAGACACCTAAAGTTACAGGGAGGTGGAAGAGGTGCACCTGTAGTTCACCAAAAGTTACAGGGAAGGTGGAGGAGGTGCACCTGTAGTTCTCCCTAAAGCTACAGGAAGGTGTGGACAGGTCGGAAGGTGCACCTGTAGTTCCACCTAAAGTTACAGAAGTGTGGGAAGGCAGAGGAAGGTGCACCTGTAGTTCACCCTAAAGTTGAGGAAGGTGTGGGAAGGTGCACCTGTAGTTCACCTAAAGTTACAGGGAAGTGTGGGAAGGCAGAGGAAGGTGCCTGTAGTTCACCTAAGTTACAGGGAAGGTGTGGGAAGGTGCACCTGTAGTTCACCTAAAAGTTACAGGGAAGGTGTGGGAAGGTGCACCTGTAGTTCACTTAAAGTTACAGGGAAGGTGTGGGAAGGTGCACCTGTAGTTCACCTAAAGTTACAGGGAAGGTGGAGGAAGATGCTGGTTCACCTAAAGTTACAGGGAAGGTGTGGGAAGGTGGACTGTAATTCACCTAAAGTTACAGGGAAGATGGAGGAAGGTGCGCCTGTAGTTCACCTAAAGTTACAGGGAAGGTGTGGTGCATCTATAGTTCACCTAAAGTTACAGGGAGGTGGAGGAAGGTGCGCCTGTAGTTCAAAGTAACAGGGAAGGTGGAGGAAGGTGCGCCTGTAGTTCACCTAAAAGTTACAGGAGGTGGAGGAAGGTGCGCCTGTAGTTCAAAAGTTACAGGGCAGGTGGAGGAAGGTGCACCTGTAGTTCACCCAAAGTTACAGGAAGATGGAGGGTGCTGGTAGTTCACCTAAAGTTACAGGAAAGGTGGAGGAAGGTGCACCTGTAGTTCACCTAAAGTTACAGGAAGGTGGAGGAAGGTGCCTGTAGTTCACCTAAAGTTATAGGGAAGGTGGAGAGACCTGTAGTTCTAAAGTTACAGGAAGATGGAGGAAGGTGCGCCTGTAGTTCA